AAGTCGATAATCTACTTTCCCAAAAGTAGAAAATCTATCTACTTTCGGGAAAGATAACCATTCGGAAAGTAGATATTTCCCATTTTTATGATACAAATTTCCGTTTTCTATGATTATCTACTTCGCAAAATTAGGTAATATTTCCCCACCAAAAATCTCCTCCTCGAAAGTCGATAATCTACTTTCCCGAAAAGAAAGCATCTACTCGAGAAAGTAGATAACCAACTTTCCGGAAAGTAGATATTTCCCATTTTTATGATACAAATTTCTGTTTTCTATGATAATCTACCAAATAGTAATATTTCAAATTGAAAAATCACTTTCCCGAAAGTCGATAATCTACTTCCTGGAAAGTAGAAAATGATTCTACTTTCGGAAAGTAGATAACCAACTTTCCTGAAAGTAGATATTTCCCATTTTTAATACAATTTCCGTTTTCAGATAATCTACTTCAAAAATTAGTAATATTTCACTGAAAATCTACTCGAAAAGTCGATAATCCACTTTCCCGAGAAGTAGAAAATCTGTCTACTTTTCGGAAAGTAGATAACCAAATTTTCCCGGAAAGTAGATATTCCATTTTTATGATACAAATTTCCGTTTTCTATGATAATCTACTTCGCAAAATTAGGTAATATTTCAAAATTCAAAAATTCACTTCGAAATGAGTATCTATTTCCAAAAAGTAGAAATATTTACTTTTTCGAAAGTAGATAACCAACTTTCCGGAAAGTAGATATTCGTTTTATGATACAAATTTCCGTTTTCTATGATAATCTACTTCGCAAAATTACGTAATATTTCCAATTCGAAAATCACCCATTCTCGAAAGTCTAATCTACTTTCCGAAAAGAAGTTTACTATTTTGAGAAGTAGATAACCAACTTTCCCGGAAAGTAGATATCATTTTTATGATACAAATTTCCGTTTTCTATGATAATCTACTGCAAAATTAGGTAATATTTCCAAAATTCGAAAATCTACTCGAAAAGTCGATAATTCATACTTTCCCAAAGTAGAAAAAGTTATCTACTTTTCGAAAGTAACCAACTTTCCCGAAAGTAGATATTTCCCGTTTTTATGACACAAATTTCCGTTTTAAGATAATCTACTGCAAAATTACGTAATATTTCAATTCGAAAATCTACTTCAGAAAGTCGATAATCTATTTAACTTTCCCGGAAAGTAGATATTTCCCATTTTTATGATACAAATTTCCCGTTTCTATGATAATCTACTTCGCAAAATTAGGTAATATTTCCCCCAAAATTCGAAAATCTACTTCCCCGAAAAGTCGATAATCTACTTTCCCGAAAAGTAGAAAATCTATCTACTTTTCGGGAAAGTAGATAACCAACTTTCCCGGAAAGTAGATATTTCCCATTTTTTATGATACAAATTTCCCGTTTTCTATGATAATCTACTTCGCTAAATTAGGTAATATTTCCCCCAAAATTCGAAAATCTACTTCCCCGAAAAGTCGATAATCTACTTTCCCGAAAAGTAGAAAATCTATCTACTTTTCGGGAACGTAGATAACCAACTTTCCCGGAAAGTAGATATTTCCCAGTTTTTATGATACAAATTTCCCGTTTTCTATGATAATCTACTTCGCAAAATTACGTAATATTTCCCCCAAAATTCGAAAATCTACTTCCCCGAAAAGTCGATAATGTACTTTCCCGAAAAGTAGAAAATCTATCTACTTTTCGGGAAAGTAGATAACCAACTTTCTTTTTCTTTTTTATATAAAATTTTTTTTTTTTATATAGAAATTTTTTTTTATATAAATTTTTTTATATATAAAATTTATTCATTTTTTTTATATATAAAATATTTTTTTTTTTTTTTTTTTTTTTTTCATATAAATTTTTTTTTTTATATAACAGGGGTCCTTAAGGCGCCACATCTACTGGCAGGGCCCCTGGGGATTCCACCGCCTTTGGGAGGGCCCATGGGGGCACCGCTGCCCCTAGGAGGGCCCCCGGAGGGCG